AAAAAAAAAAAAAAGTTTTAATAAAATTTATTGAATTTAGTAAAATATTTTGTGAAATGTATGTACATGACATGTAATGGCTGAGTAAACAATTGCATTGCAATTATTATAATTATGCGATTAAATATATACACACATACATACATACATGCACATGTATGTATGTATGGATGCGTTTGTACGCAGGAATTTATTGCAATTTAAATTTATTATTAAATTTTATTTATGCACTAAACGTAAGCATTCAATTATTTAAAGTTTATGCATATTACCACTATTAAATAAAATGACCGTTGTAATAAATAAAATGATGATGGATTTAATTTTAAATAAATGTACACTAAAAAATATATGCACACATACACAGCACACAAACTGTATATGAACAAGGAAAATATGAGCAAACGTACATACACACATAGTACATACCATGATATGAATTACACAATAATTACAATGGATCAATTAAAATGGACTTGACTAAGTATATTATACATACATACGTGCATACATATGTACATATATGGATTAAAAACTGAAGAACAATAAAGAAACTCATGATAAAAAATATATGTATGTAATGAGATTTTGGTTGAAATGCCTATACGATTTTTTTTTTAAGAGTTTTAAGTATTCTACCATAGTGTTAGAAAACTTGCTAGGGCGCTGGTTTTTCCCCACTATCGATGGTTTTTCATAACTAAACAATTTTTAATCAAAAACTTTCTACCTTCCTCAAAAAGTTTTCATATTCGGTTAGTTTCATACTTTTAAACAAAAGTTTTCTTAAAATGCAATTATGAAATATATTACATAACTTTTGTATGATTAATTTAAATCCGACTTTTTAAATAGTTGGCAACTCTATTCAAAAGCCAAAAAGTATTCCAAACGTGTAAAAGCTCAAACAGTCAACGACGTAACGTAGACGTAGGTTGACACAGACACGATCTACCTTATGGGATTCGCGTGTAACCGAAAACTCACCACCGCTTGGCGGTGACGTTGCCGTTGCTTCTATCTCTCTCAATCAACAGTAAGTTTGATATGCTGCTACGTACGTCAACCTACGTTTACGCTACGTCGTTGACTAACTGCGCTTTAAGCCTTCTGTGTGCCTTTCCTCTAAGTTCATCCAGCCATTTCTGAGTGAAGAGAATTCCAGCAAATGGGAAAGGAGACATGAAATCATTTGCTTTTTGCTTACATCGCAGTTTGTTTTTGCTTACAGGCTAAGAGCGCGGTTACCCACGAACGTGTACGTAGCGTAGCGTAGAAGTACGTAGAAAGATATCAAGTATGCTGTTGATAGAAAGAGAGAGAAGCAACGTCTACGCCACGGTCATGCGGTGGTGAGTTTTTGTTAACACGCAGATGCCATAAGATAGATCGTGTCAGCTGACACGTTCTCCGTTTTTACGTTCGTGGGTAACTGCGCTTTAACCCAACCGGCCGTCTTCACATGCTTGAAAATCTCGCATGCGTTCTGCTTTTTTCTCTCGCAAGCGAGATAGAGTTATGTTGACTGGGCATTTGACAGCATACTTTTTCATTTGTAAAATGTCGCCAAACAAGAAGGTTCAAGCCTTGCAGGCTCTTAAAAGTTTGAGAAAATTAGAAAATCTGCATAAATAGAGAAAAAGACGCAAGAAACGAAAGAAATTTGTATTTGCCTCCAAAATAAACGATGTTGCTACTCTGAAGAATTCTGCGAAATGAGAACATAGCTGTCAAACAACAAAAATGACAGTTGAAAGCAAGCGAGAGCTCGCATTACCGCTCGGTATGCGAGAAAAAGAATGCATCGTACTTTTTGAGGTCTACACGTGCGGTTTCTCGCATGCGTCGTCACGCAAGCGAAATTTTCCAGCACGTGAAGACGGCCGGTGATATTCGCAGTTTGCGTTTTGGTACGCACGCCGTCGAATTAATTTTTTTTGCGTCACCTGAAATTGGCTTGCGTGCGTGCGGGATTTGATTTCATTGAGCGAAACGTCAAATCAAAATGTCACGCAGAACAAGTTGTATGTGCATGAGAAATTTTTGACAGTAAATTGGCGGCGTGCGTGAATATTAGGTTAGCCTGTTAGACAGGCAGCCGAAGCAAACAGTTGCTGTTTTCTTTGCTTTGCTTTGTTATTCTTGCAGTCGAAAGCAACTGTTTAAGCAAAATTTGAAAATTTCGCTGCGCGTGCTGCTCTTGTCATTCATCGTTGCGGACTTACTGCCGTTCCTAAATCGCGTCGTAATTTTTGACGTTTTCTCAGGTCCTATCCTTTTTATTCTCGTTTCCTCTTTCACTTTTTTGTCCTTTCTCTTTCTTTCCGTCTTCTGCATCCAACTTCAACACGTAACGCCCTGGCAAAAATTAAAATTCCATTTGCTCGGTGGTAGCGCCGCGTTATTGAGGGATGCTTCATACAAATTGTATTGGCATGAGGATTTTTGACAGTTGCTTGGCGCTTGTCGCGCCAATTTAGGGATGGCAGTTATTCATTCCTATGTGTACATACAAACATACGTATGTATTACGAACAAACCAGTGATGGAAAAGTAGGCACAATTGTGCCATTTTTGGCACTTTCATTCTCAGGGGCACTTTTAGTACAATTCATCCTGTTTTAGCACAATCATAAAATATAGAAATTTAGCATAAAATGCCAATATATAAAAAAAAAATCGCACTCCACATTATAGATTAAAAAATTACAAAAAGTGAAAATTAAAAGCACTAAAAAATTAAAGGCTGCTTTTTTTTATACATTCCGGTTAATCCCATTTCACAGAATGCTTTTGAAACATACGTTAGATATCATCAGGAACGTTCTAAAGAATAAGTAAATAAAAAAGTTTATTCCAAACGTTCAGAATGAATAAGGAAATTCAGCCAAAATAAGGGCCGTGAGAATATTTACAAACCACTGCTATTGTGAATACGCAGTATGAAAAGTAAATTTTCGCAACAACAAGCTTTTAATTCACTATACCCGTCAGTGTGAACTTTAACCTAACTAAACCCCCCACCGTCCAAGTACCGAACCCCCCGGTACCACCATCAAGTATTTCGTCGGGAGGCGGTTGAGCACAAGGCTCGCACGTTCGTTCCAGTCAATTGTACTCAGTCCTGGGCTACACCGAGTAGGGTTTGGCTCGTCTTGTTTAAAGATACAGTTTTTTTAACTAGTTTTTAACTATATTTTCATATATGTATGTACATTCATAAGAGTGTAAAAATGTCAGAATAGCTATATATCGTTGTATATGTCTAATTTGCCTGCCAAGCACAGCTTCATCCATTTGAAAAAATAATTAATAATAAATTGAAATATTGAAAATAATAAAATAATTTCAGACAATCAAATAATTAAAAATAAATAAATTTATCATTTTATCAAGTTTATCAAGAGTTTATCACTTTGAACGAAGACCCGAAGACCGCAGAAAATTAAGATAATCATTAAAATAAAAAAATGCATTAGGTTAGCCTATTAGCAGGGCTGCCAACTATACTTAGCTATACAAAAGGCAATGGGGATATTGCTTTCTGATGTTGCGGCTGCTGTGATTCAAGTTGTGGTGATAACGGTGGTGGTAGTAGTGCGTGTTGGAATATGCCAGCTGCACGCAATGGTGCTACTCTTTTTCACTGCTGACTATTGCGACGCATTGCACTTCAACATTTTGGTGTAACATCTCATCATCTGTGGACT